GCCCGCCCCTGTACAAGGAACAACAGTGCCACAAGCAGCCTGCCCCCATTAGAGGAGCAGCTGCCACCAGAGCAGCCTGCCTTGGACCAAGGAGCAGCAGCCACATGAGCAGACTGCCCATGTCCGAGGAACAGCAGCCCTGTGCAGCGTACACTGGTCCGAGGAGCAACAGCCACACGCAGCCTGCACCTGTTAGACAAGCAGAAGCTGAGTGAGCAGCCCACCCCCATCTGAGGAGCAGCAGCCTCATGTGAAGCTCACTCCTGCCCGAGGAGCAGCAGTTGTGTGAGCAGCATGCCCCTGTATGAGGAACAGCAGCGCCACCAGCAGCCTGCCCCAATTCAAGGAGCAGCAGGCGCCCGAGCAGCCCGCACCAGTCTGAGGAGCAGTAGCCACACACAGCCTGCACCTGTCTGACAAACATCAGTTGGGTGAGTGGCCTGCCCCCATGCGAGGAGCATCAGGTGCACATGCAGCTCACTCCCGCCTGAGGAGCAACAGCCTCCCAAGCAGCCCAACCTGGTCTGAGAAGCAGCAGCCACACGAGCAAACCTCCCATGTCAGAGGAGTGGCAACCCTGTGCAGCCCTCACTGGTCCGAGGAGCAGCAGCCACATGCAGCCTGTACCTGTCTGACGAGCACCAGTTGGGTGAGCTGCCCAACCCTGTCTGAGGAGCAGCAGCCCTGCAAGCAACCTGCCCCTGTCCAAGAAGCGGCAGCCTTACGAGCAGCACATGCCACCTGTGGAACAGCAGCAGTGTGCAGCCAGCCCTGATCCAAGGAACAGCAGCCACATGAGCCATCCGCCCCTGTCCAATGAGCAGCAGCCATACACAGCCTGCCACCATCTGAGGAACAGCAGCCTCATGATCAGCCCACCCCCATCCAAGGAACACCAGCTGTGTGAGAAGCCTCCCCCACCAGCCAGAGGAGACACCACTGCTGCAAACAGCACCCACCAGAGAAGCTGCTTCCAGGACCACCCGAGGAGCAACCGCAACCCAAGGAGCCACTGCCACCCAAGGAGCAGCCCCTGCATGACTCGACATCTAGATCAGTCAGTGAGACCAAAAATGGGTAGGCAAAGAAACCCCCAAAGGAAAGAAAAGGAGGACTCACCAGAAAAGCAGCTAAGTGAAACAGAGGCATGCAGCATGACAGAAAAAGAATTCAGACTAAGGGTCATACAGTACATAAACCAGATGGAAAAAATCAACAACTTATGTAAGAATCAAGAAGAAATGGATGAAAAAATCAATAACTTATGTAAGAATCAAGAAGAAATGAAGAGTGATATAGCTGCAATAAAAAAATTCCATGGAAAGTTAACAGTAGACTAGAAGAAGCAGAGGACCAAATTAGCGAATTAGAAGACACGGAATCAAAACACAACCAAACTGAACTGCAATTGTAGAAAAAAAATTAAAAGACAGGAGGAGATCCTTAAGGAGTTATGGGACATCATGAAAATAAGCAACATATGAATAATAGGGGTGCCAGAACAACAGCAAGAGGAACAAGGGTTAGAAAACCTATTTGAAGAAATAATGTCAGAAAACTTCCCTGATGTGGGGAAGAAAAAAGTCACACAATCACAGAGAGTCCCAAACAAGATGAACCTGAAAAGACCTATACCAAGACACATCATAATTATGATGGCAAATGTTCAGGACAAAGAGAGAATCTTAAAGGCTGCAAGAGAGACAGAAAGTTACATACAGGGGATCTCCCATTAGATTATCAAATGATTTCTCAACAGAAACACATCAGGCCAGAAAAGAATGGAAGAAAATTTACAAAGTGATGGAAAGCAAGGGACTGAATCCAAGAATACTCTATCCAGCAAAGCTATCATTCAAAATTGAAGGGAAAATAAGGAGCTTCACAGATTTAAAAAAAAAAAAAAAAAAAAAAAAAAAAAAAAAGGCTAACAGAGTTTATCACTACCAAGCCAACAATGCAAGAAATGCTAAAGGGACTGGTGTAAAAAGAATAAATAAAATGGTAAGAAAGAACACAGGCACAAAATATAAAAATGGCTACAAACAAGTACCTTTCAATAATAAGTTTAAATGTAAATGGAATAAATGCTCCAATCAAAAGACATCAAGTGAGTGAATGGATAAAAAAACAAGACCCATATATATGCTGTCTACAAGAGAACCACCTCAGAACAAGGGACTCACACAGACTGAAAGTGAAGATATGCAAAAATATATTTCAGGCAAAGAGAAATGAAAAAAAAACTGGGGTATCAATACTTATATCTGACAAAATAGACCTCAAAGTGAAGGCCATAACAAGAGATAAGGAAGGCCACTTCATAATACTAAAGGGATTGATACAACACGAGGATATAACCCTGATAAACATATATGCACCCAATGCAGGAGCACCCAAATACATAAAAAAAAACTCCTGGAAGATATCAAGGGAGACATCAACAACAATACAATCATAGTAGGGGACTTTAGTACACCACTGACATCACTGAATAAATCCTCTACACAAAAAAATCAGCAAAGAACAAGAAAAATGGTAATAAATTATCTAACTCTACAACTCAAGGAATTAGAAAGAGAGCAACAAGAAAAACCCAGAGTGAGCAGAAGGAAGGAGATAAAAAGATCAGAGCAGAAATAAATGACATAGAGACAAAAAAAAAAAAAAACAATACAAAAGAACAATGAAACCAAGAGCTGGTTCTTTGAAAGGATAAACAAGATTGATGAGCCTCTAGCCAGGCTCACCAGGAAGCAAAGAGACAGGACCCAAATAAACAAAATCAGAAATGAAAGAGGCGCAATAACAACAGACTCCACAGAAATACAAAGGATTGTTAAAAAATATTATGAACAACTCTATTCTAACAAACTAGACAACCTGGAGGAAATGGACATATTCCTAGAAAAATACAACCTTTCAAAAGTCAATCAGGAAGATTCTAAAAATCTCAATAGGCCAATAACAATGGAAGAAATTGAAGCAGTCATCAAAAAGCTTCCAGCAAACAAAAGCCCGGGGCCAGATGGCTTCACAGGGGAGTTCTACCAAACATTCAAGGAAGAACTAAAACCTATCCTCCTCAGACTATTCCAAGCTCATTCGATGAAGCCAGCATCACCCTAATACCAAAACCAGACAAAGACAACACAACGAAAGAGAATTATAGGCCAATATCCCTCATGAACATAGATGCCAAAATCCTCAACAAAATCCTAGCAAATCAGATCCAGCAGTACATCAGAAAGATCATATGCCATGACCAAGTAGGATTTATCCCAGGGATGCAAGGATGGTACAATATCCGCAAATCAATAAATGTGATACATCACATAAACATATTGAGAGATAAAAATCACATAGTCATCAATTGATGCAGAAAAGGCATTTGACAAAATCCAACACTCTTTCTTGATAAAAACTCTCAGCATGGAGGGATAGAAGGATCATACCTCAACATAATAAAAGCCATATATGACAAACCCACAGCCAACATCATACTGAAAGGGCAAAAACTAAAACCATTTCCCCTAAGAACAGGAACAAGACAGGGATGCCCACCCTCACCATTCCTGTTCGACATAGTACTGGAAGTACTAGCCATTGCAATTAGACAAGAAGAAGAAATAAAAGGCATCCAAATTGGAAAAGAAGTAAAACTGTCCTTTTTAGCATATGACATGATACTATACATAGAAAACCCTAAAGACTCCATCAAAAAAACTATTAGACTTAATAAATGAATTTGGCAATGTAGCAGGATACAAAATTAATGCCAAGAAATCTATGGCATTTCTATACACCAATAATGAATTTACAGAAAGAGAGACTAAAAAACCAATCCCATTTACCATCATTCCAAAAAAAATAAGATACCTAGGAATAAACTTAACTAAGGAGGTAAAAGACCTATATGCGGAAAACTACAGGACACTGAAAAAAAAGATAGAGGAAGACATAAACAGACGGAAGAACATACTGTATTCATGGATTGGTAGAATCAACATCATCAAAATGTCCATACTACCTAAAGCAATCTGCAGATTCGAAGCACTCCCCATTAAAATACCAACAGCATATTTCACAGACGTAGAACAAACTTTCCAAAAATTCATCTGGAATAAAAAAAAAAACCCTGAATAGCTGCAGCAATCCTGAGAAAGAACAACGAAGTAGGTGGGATCTCAATACCAGATATCAAGCTGTATTACAAAGCCACTGTCCTCAAAACAGCCTGGTAATGGCACAAGAACAGACATATAGATCAATGGAATAGAATAGAGAACCCAGAAATTGACCCAAGCCACTATGCTCAATTAATATTTGACAAAGGAGGCATGAACATACAATGGAGTCAAGACAGTCTCTTCAATAAATGGTGTTGGGAAAATTGGACAGATATATGCAAAAAAAAATAAAACTAGACCACCAACTTACACCATACACAAAAATAAACCCAAAATGGATAAAGGACTTAAACATAAGATGGAAAACCATAAAAATACTAGAGGAATCCACAGGCAGCAAAATCTCAGACATATGCTGAAGGTATTTCTTCACTGATACTGCTCCTAGGGCAATGGAAACTAAAGAGAAAATAAACAAATGGGACTACATCAAAATAAAAAGCTTTTTCACAGCAGATAAAACCATCAACAAAACAACAAGAAAGCCCAGTGCATGGGAGAACATATTTGCCAATGTTATCACCGATAAGTGTTTAATATCCAACATTTATAGGGAACTCATACAACTTGACAAAAGGAAGATATACAACCCAATCAAAAAGTGGGCAATGGACCTAAATAGATACTTTTCAAAAGAAGACAGAAGGAAGTCCAAGAGACATATGAAAACATGCTCAAAGTCACTAATCATCACAGAGATGCAATTCACAACAATGAGATATCATCTCATACCTGTCATAATGGCTATCATCAACAATCAACAAACGACAAGTGCTGGTGAGGATGCAGAGAAAAAGGAACCTTCATGCACTGCTGGTGGGAATGCAGACTGGTACAGCCACTGTGGAGAACAGTATGGAGTTTCCTCAAAAAATTAAAAATGGAACTCCCATTTGACCCAATGATCCCACTTCTAGGAATATATCCCAAGAAACTAGAAACACCAATTAGAAAGGATATATGCACTGCTATGTTCATAGCAGCACAATTCACCATAGCTAAGATTTGGAAACAGCCTTAGTGCCCATCAGCAGATGAGTGGATTAAAAAACTGGTACCTCTACACAATGGAAAACTATGCGGCAATAAAAAAGAAGGAGTTCATGCCATTTGCAACAGAATGGGTGGACCTGGAGAGCATTATGCTAAGTGAAATAAGCCAGTCAGAGAAAGATAAATATCACATGATCTCACTCATTTATGGAATATAATGAACATAAACTGATGAATAAAAGCAGATCCAGAGACAAAGAAACATCAATCAGACCGTCAAACCTTAGAAGGAAGGTAGGGGAGGGTGGGGGTAAGGGGGAGAGATCAACCAAAGTACTTGTATGCATGCATATAAGCCTAACCAATGGACACAGACAACAGGGGGTGAGGGCATGAGTAGGGGAGGATGGGGGGTAATGGGGAGATAAGGACACATATGTAATACTTTAATCAATAAAGAGATAAAATTAAAAAAAAAATGTCAAGGGCAAAAAAAAAGAGAGAAGCTTTGAGACTTTATTCTAGATAAGCATAAACTACCCGAAGGATCGTTACCAAAGTGCTACCTTAATAAAATACCATTGTATTAAAAAAAAAAATGCATTACCAGCCTGCCCGCCTGGCTCAGTGGTTGAGCATCAACCTATGAATCAGGAGATCACAGTTGATTCCAGGTCAGGGTACATGCCTGGATTGTGGGCTTGATCCCCAGTAGGGAGTATGCAGGAGGCAGCAGATCAATGATTCCCTCTCATCATTGATGTTCTATCTCTTTCTTCCTCTCTGAAATCAATAAAAATATATTTCTTAAAAATTGAGGTATTAACCATCATTTGTATGATTCTGATAATAATGTGTAGAGGTTTTCTCTCTCTTATTTAATAAGAATATCAAACTCATATCAATTGAGATGTTTCATGCTAATTGCAATATTTCCAATTAAACTGCCAATATAAATCTCTTTGACATGGCATTATTCCTTTTTTTAACAAGTACTTTTACACCATATATCTTAGAGCCTCATGTTGCTCAGCTTGTAAAAGAAAAATGAAATATCAGTCAAAACGTAATAGGTAGAACTCTACTGAGAAAACGTCTTAGCATAACAAAGTCCAAGTGAGTTCAAGCACCTGAGACTTACAAGGAGATTCTGCCCAGAATGCTAAGAAGTCTTTACATGATGGAAGCAGATCACTGAAAAATCCATAAATGAACTTTTCTTTATATACTTTAAGCTAGATCTAAGAAAGTAGACTAAGAACTTGAAGGCAGAAGATCCTTTGTGGTCCCAGCTCATGAATAGTCTGGGTGATGGTAAACAAATCTCTGCCTTAGTTTCCAGAAATGAAGATCTCTAAGATCCCTTCCAACTCCCACTTTCCACAAGTTTCATTACAAATGAAGAAAAACTAAATCACTTAATGAATTCAATACAATTCAGGACACAATTTCCAGTAATAGCTTTCTCCTATCCCTTATAAAGTGTATCATATTCCTATGTTTGTTCCCCCTTTATACATCCAAAAAAGGGGAAAGAGTGTGAAAGGCAGAGCTGGGTTTGCATCTCATCTATAATTCCCCACTAGCTGTGTGACCTTGAATAAAATACTTAACTTCTGAAATTCCAGTTTCTTCATTTATAAATGTAGAATAATATTCTCTATCATATAGGGCAAGAATGTAGATTATAGATATGTCTAATCCATTTTATTGTGCCTTCAAACTAGTAGCATTCAATAACTAGTAATTATGACACACACAAATACACAGATACATTCACTCATATGTAATACACATTCTTCAAGCTCCAAGTAGAAATGGGAATCAATAATTATCATGTCATTAAATCAAAATTGGAAATGCAAATAGCTGTGGGTCCATTTATAGTGATATGATCAGATTACATTCTAGGATGCCAGTATAACATTAAAATTTGTTATTATACTGTTCATTACCACTACCAGGAGCCCAGCATAAGCATTATTTGTCTGGCAGGGTCTACCATCACTAGCAAGTAGGATGGACCCCTACTAGAGGCCTAGCCATTTTACGGCCAATTTAGATCATTTACAAATGTAATTACATCACTTTTCTACGACAAAGTGGAATAGCATTGGGTTTGGTACATTTTAAGACTGCAACTGGTTCACTTTCATTTGATTCCAGATTATTTAATTTAGCCAAATAAAAAAGCCAAAGCATAGAACACCATCAAATGTAGATTCTAGCTCTCAACTCTCCTGCATTCTAAGAAAACTTTTCTTCATCATTGCTATTCCCTCAGCCTAAATGATTTTATTACCAGGCTCTTCAATTTTGCCACCCAACTTTTCTTCAAAATTAATCCATGTTCTCTGTCTTCAATTCATGGGTATTCCTCAAAGTGTTATAATCTGGCCACCCCCACACAAGATTTCTAAAATTGTCCTTGTGATGGTCATCAATGATCTCCTATGGCCAAGTTCAGCAGCCTTTCTCAGCTGCCATTCTATTTGAGCTTTCCCAGGAATTTGAAACTGCTATCCTCTAGAATTCCTAACCTCCAGGGCTGCATTAACCCTGCACATTCATGATTCTTTTGCCTTACTCGCTCCCCTTCTCTTTCACAGACTTTTTTTTTTTCCTGTCAACCCCAAATTTAGGGAATCCCTAATTTTTTAAAATATATTTTTTATTGATTTCAGAGAGGAAGGGATAGGGAGAGAGAGAAACATCAATGATGAGGGAGAATCCTTGATCAGCTGCCTTCTGCATGCTCCCCACCAGGGGTCAAGCCCACAGCTCGTGCATGTGCCCTGACCAAGAATCTAATGGTGACCCTGTGGTTCATAGGTTGAGCTCAACCACTGAGCCACATCAGCCAGGTGGGAACCAGCTAATTTTTTATTGTCCTTCGTCAAAGGTAATTTCATATACTCCAACAGTTGTAGCTATAACTCTATGCAAGTGACTCCTAAACATAAATATTTACCCCATTGCCTCTCTGAAAGTCTCCACCTGAAAATCTCAGCATCTCAACCTCAGTAAGTCCAAATGTACTTCATTATCCACCTCATGAACCTGCTCCTAGTGCTATGTCCCCAAGTTCTTTGAATATCACCACCATCTATGGTTACTCATGCTCCAAATCTCTGCATTCCTTTGTCCTTTTTCAAATTAGTTACTCTAGGTCAATTCTAGCTCCATTCATATCAAATATATGATCCTACCTTTTCCTTCCCATTATAGATGCCCTCATTTATAAAATTTGTAGAATAGATTTGAGAGGGAATAGAGTCTTCAATTTTAGTCACTTTCTGTTTCAAGTTCAAATTAATTCCAGATTAAGCATCAGAAAACATCTTCAATAATTTTCATTTCCTTGCTCAAACACCTTTTGTTACACCATTTTTAGATTAAAAACTAATCATTGGAATAGCTGATATTTATTAAACATTTGCTTAGTAGGTTCTAGGTAATATGTCAAACATACATCAATTACCTCATTAACTATTATTATAGATGTGATTTTGCAGTTATTTATGTAATTTATCAGAGATTATAGATAGATGATATAGCTATAGATAGATATAGATATAGATATAGATATAGATATAGATATAGATATAGATATAGATATAGATATAGATCCCCAAACAGAACAAAAACTCTATGAGGTCCAGGACTTGAAATACAGGTACTCAAATACTACCTATTAATTGAATGAATGAATGAAGTCCTTTTTTAACATTGTAGTCAAAAGTCCTCTTCTGTTTTCTCTTTGAAATCACCTACTAATTTGTTATTTCTCTCACATATTGTATATTGGATTATAGTTACTATGCCCAAGTTAAATTTGGAAAATGACAATAAATCAATTCTAGCTAGATGACTTCTCTTTCTACTAAAGGCCTGTACTAGGATATTTCAGGATCATAAACAAACAAACCTGGCAAAATTAGACATTAGAAATATATGTACTATGCATTAACACAGGAACAGCAACAATCTAAATACTGTGCCTCCATATATAAACACAATATTTTGTGGAAATCTTTCTCCCAATGTCCTCTCTCAAGAAATTTATGAAACTCTGATGTAATAACCTTAGCATTCAGCCCAAGCTATGACCAGATTACAACAGGCAACTCATTCATTATCTGGGTATATTTATCTGATCTTCTAGCCTGTACAAGATTTTGCATCTTCTCTCCTCTGTCTTATGCATCTCTCTTAAATTCCAGCCCTTTATCTTTTCTTTGTTTTTTTACTTAATTGTTGAAACTATAATAGATGTCCCCCTTTTACCTCCATATTGATCCCTTTCAACCCACTCCTGCCCCCTCCCCGGGTCTTCCCCACACTATTGTCTGTTCATGGGCTATGCATTATTCTATCTAATAATAGACAAACATGGTAATTGACCATACCTCCACTATGCTTCCCATTGTCTAATCAGCAGGATATTCAAATTAAGTGCCAACAAAGATGGCGGCCGGCAGCCACGCAGCTGAAGCGAGCAGGAGGCTTGCTTGCTCCAGTGATGGAGGAAGCCAAGGTTCCCTACCTGCCACGGCCCAGCTCTGAGCTCCAGAAGAAACAATATTTCAATTATAGAAGCTAAACAAACCCAGATACCTGCTTTCAGCCACCGCGGCCTTAGAGCTGGAGCCAGGCCTCAGAGCTGGAGCCAGCTCTCAGCTCCAGTGACAGCTATAGAAGATAAATAAATCCCAGAATAAAAAAAGAAAAAAGGAAAAAAAAGAGGCTGGGAGCTTCAGTCACCCGCCAGCCTGAAAACGGCCCTCAGCCCCTCATTCAGACTGACCAGCCACCACAGTGGTGACCCCCACCCTGAAGGGGGTGTGA